TATCTAAGTACAGACAGTCAAAAAGCCCAAGGTTGAATCAGTTCAGTCTTTGCAGGTTAGTCTAAGCTGTGTAGATTGAACCAATAAGCAAATGAACAGACATTTACCTTTGATTCCAGAAATATAGCCACATGCCTGCAATGACCCAAGCTGGAAGCTGTGGGAAGGCACTAAAGCATGACTCCCTGCTTGGCTGGAGCAGACAGCTTGGGCCAAGGATAGCCCGCCCACCCTGCAAATGCGGGTTTGCAGGGGAGGTGCAAAGCATCTTGGGATGGTGGGGGACTGTGAGTTAACTTGAATCTGAAGGGGATCTGGGACAGAAGTTCAATAAACTGATTTAACGTAAATCAGTTAAATCTGATACTACATCCATCCAAGTTTATCTTAAACTGGTTTTGACCATTTTGAAAGCGGTTTATGTGCATTGAGCTTCTGTTGTGTTATGGTTTTGAACCAGCTTCTGATCATTTGTACTGGTTTATATGTAATTTCTGTCCTTCGCCTATAGCCTAGTGGTTAGGGCCCTTGCCTATAGGGTGAGACACCCCAGTTATAGCTCCCCACAAAGGGAGATTGAACCTGCATCCCTTGCTTCCCAGCAGAGTGTTCTAACTACTAGGTCATGGACTAAGCATTGCCCAGAGCGCACACCTCCTGAAGCTAGGCCACTGAGCCACCTGCAGGGGAAAGTATATGGGGTCGGGAAGAAAACAAATCAGAAGGAGGGTGGCTCAGTAAAATGGATGCTGCTCTGTAGGGAGGCAGCCTTGTGCTCTAATCCTGGCTCCTCATGTCAGCAAGGTAAAAACATTTGCACTGCTGTATATCCATCTATCTGATAATAGGAAAAGCAAAACATGGGAAATGCCCCACAGCTCACTACTGACCTAAAAGGCAAGAGAGCCTGGGCTCCTTCTCTGGTGGGGGCTTCCACTAATCATAACTTTCCTGCAACTAAGATTTTGGGGCTTACATGACATTATGTGCGTGCCTGGGTACTTACCTGGGTACACCCAGAGTACAGCCTTCTGAGCGTGTTTCCCCAAGAAGAGATGCTCTGTTACATTTTAAAAACCTGATGTGTATGAGACACAAATAAGCATGTCTTATTTTTAAGGCAGAAGACAGGGTAGAAATGCTCTTTATAGACTAATTAAATCAGTTGCTTTTAAGTCATTCTTACAAGAATGTTTCTGCCCTTCCAGCTCCTCTCGTCTGTCAGAACTGCTGCACTTTTTGCTCTATGCAATTCTTTTTTGGGGTATTTGTCACATGAGAGGGGCAAGTGGTGATGGATTCTGCTTCACACCCATTGTAAATTGTATGTCATTACCAGCCAAACCATTTTTTTCTGCCTCTGAGCTGAAAATTGTCGCTGCCGTGCACTGCAGCGAGGAGTCCGGGAGCCTTAGAGGCCGTCAGGCGGGTACTTGTGACGCTTCGAGTGGAATTAATTAGGCGGACGCTTATCGGTTGCAAAGCAAGATTGTTTACTCACGCCGCCAAGGTGGTGAATAACGGAGGTCAGAGGTATTTGGTTAGTTACAGCTTAGAGTTCGTAGGTCGGTCTGTATAAGTATTCGGACAGAAATGGTCGGGCCGGCAGTCGTTGATTTACGTCTGAGATTGGGTCGAGATGGGGAACTTGGACAAGTGATCAAATTGTCTAATTATTCTGACACGTATGTTCAGAGGTCTCCAAGGTGTGTACGGAGGTCTCCAACTTCGCGGAAGTAAAAAACGGGTTTTATTTGTGTAATAGCCAATTGGTTTTCGCCACGTCATAAATTTAATTAGAATCGCCAATTATATAGCGGTTTTCGCTAAGGTGTTATTTTAGGGCTACTCCCTGTATTACTCTGACCAGTTATAATGATTTATGTAAAGCACAGAAGATTAAAGTTTCATTTCTGTTAGTGGCGCAGTTATAAATCTCTTTTCGCTGACACGCAGAGCAAAGAAGGCTGTTACTATCATTTTGTTAACCCTTAGTTAACCTAGTGCAGAAATGAGACTGCTTTGAATAGTATCTCTTGCTTGTGGCATGGGCACGACTATAATTGGGTTGTGACAAAAATGTGTGGAAATGCAGAGGATTTTGCTTTTCGGTCTTAGCGCCTGGCCTCCACCATGACCTGATGCCAGCCACAATTTCATCAGTAAATGAACAAAGCTTTAGGGGCATGTGCTACATTTTTGGGGGGCAGGGGAATTCAGGAGACAAGTTATCTTCGTTCTCACAGGAGGTTGCCAGATGTTGTTCCTTTGTGTGTTTAAGCTGCCTTTAGATAATGACAAAGTTCAGTCTGTAAACTTGCTGTATGCAAACAGAGCAGCGAAAGAAAAACAAAACAGCAAACCCACGGCACGCCATCTGTTAGCTCTGTTTGGATGTCACTGCTTTATATAATACGTGCAGCATTTGTGTGATAATGTGTGTATCATTTATGTTTGAAGCCAGACATTTTGCAGGCTGTCCAATATGTGGAGTTGTAACAGAACAGCAATTATGATCATGCTGTACTGAAGTCATTGCTTTTTAACAAGGCTGTCTAACCCTTATTATCATGAGGGCCCCTTTGCATCACTTTGGCAATGTATAAAAGCTCGAATAGGGTGCAGATGTCATTTGTGCTCGTTTTGAAGTATTCTTTACACCAGACGTGTTCAGTGCAGGGTCTGTACTGAAAATGAGACCCAGGGATCCACTCTTCTAAGCGTACAATGTAAAAATTTTGCTTGAAAAATCAGGTGGACGTATTGAATCAAATCTTATTTAAAATTTTGCATGTGTTTAAGTTGTGGCCCCTTAAAATGTAATCTTCAGATCCTGTGCTGTCTTGATCTGCATGTGATGCTCCTGAGAATGAGACATGGAAAATTCATGGATTTTGTTCAGCTGTAGCGGGGGGAGGGGAAGAAACAGCAGCAGTGGGGAGAAGAAGGTCTGATTTGGATTTGTACATGCCCTGGAAAGCAAGGCAGCTTACTAGGTGAGAGACTTGGGTTCTTTTCCCAGCTCTGTCATTCTTTTTTTTTTGTGCAATTTTCCAGGTCTGATCAGGGACTGCACCTCAGTTTGCTCTCTCTAAAAAGGACTATAATGCATCTCCTTTGTAACGTGCTTTGTGTTCTACAGTTGAAATCCAAGCTAATTATCATGATCTACAGATCAGAATTTGGGTCCTTGGATGGTAACTTTGAGTACAAGCAAGAGCAAAATGATGATAACACTTCCTGAGTGCATTGCACAAAATGTACTTTTTTTTTTCATTTGTATCTTACTGCAACTGTGTGAAAGTGGAAAATACCTTCTGTATGAGGTTCAGAAACTCTCTGGTCAGATAAGGCAGGTCTCATCAGTATGGACTGTAGTTCTCAGACACCTGTCTTGGTCTAGTTGCCATCACTTATAGCCATTATTCACATGCATCATGAAAAAACCCAATATCCTGCTATTCTCTACACAATCCAAGGTTCCATATAATGCCAGTGGTTATATTGGGAAGTATAAAGTTTATGAGGATAACGTCTAAAAGGGTTTGTTGCTTCATAGCTGGTAGCTGCTTTGCAATTAACTTCACTAAGACAAAGAATAGCTTTTTAAGTGACTCATTCTCTGTTATGATTTAATTCTGAGAAACGTTGAGAAAGCAGCTTGTAAATATCTTCAAATAAGTCAACAATGTTACTATTAAAGAGTTCGCTTTCCAAAATGTATCACAGGAAGTTAGTAGCCTAAAATTTGGGTTAGGAAATCTCCTTACTAAAGGCTTAACAGAATACCATGTAAACAACATTCATCTAATGAGCATTTCTATTTGTGTAACACTGGGGTGAAAAAGGATATACACACATGCTTTGAAATATTTGCATGTTCCATTAAGTAATTGAAAGCAAATAGTTTACCAAAGCACCCAAATGTTTTTCAGTCTGGTGTTCCCTTTCAACACAATAAAGTTGGCTGAATATTTTCTAATAAAATTAAACTGCCCTTTAAACGTAGAAGCAGATAAGCAAGCTAAATGACAAAATTATGCCTTTTTGTAAAGATATTTAGGACATCTACAAGAGAGAAACATATTTATAAAATGTATGAGTTCCAGATGTTAAAGTGCAGTAAATGCAGCAGAAGTATTCTGCAAAGAAATAGTCAAAATATTGCCAGCATTTGAGGGTAATGGGTTTAGTGTTTGTGAATCCTTGTACTTTTTCTTCAGTAACTGAAGCACACTGTGTATTTTTGTGCACGGAACGCCCAAGAAAGATAATTTAAGCAGTGGTTGCTAATTTCTTTGAGCTTGTATCCTCCATTTCTGGTTTGAGTTTGACTTTTCTGTGGGGCTTAAAACCCCAGGTGTATATATACTGCAGCCTATTTGGAATCACAATCTGTGTTATAGAAACCACTGATCTGAACAAAGGCAGAAGCCAGGATGAAAACTAAGCACGAATGCTCAAACTCCAACTTATGGGCCAAATCCAGCTCACAAAGCTATGGTACCCAATATGTGGGGATCCTTGTGGGCCAGAAAAATTGGCAACTGGAGAGCAGTGGAAGCTCTGCACGGCCAGATCCAGCCCTACCCAGGCCATTGCCATGCAGTGGGATCAGGGCCAGGCCTGCCCCCCAGACATTAAGATTTGGCCAGGCTGCTCCCTGTCGTCCACCACCACCACACTGTGTCCAGATTGGGTTCAGAATGCCCCCTCCTTCCCCCAAAGGATGGATCAGTTGAGCTGTGCACCTCCTGCCCCCAGTCAAACCAGGCCCCACTGTGCCAGCCCCATGTACTGGATTGAGCCCACTGACCAGATCCTAGTTTAGATCTGGCCTGTGGATGAACCTGACACTACCCATCCAGCCCATGGGGCAAAAAGGTTGGCACTACTGATCCAAAGTATGTCTGATAAACAGAACTATCTCTGATATATGAGTGGCTCTGTTTCTTTGCTTTTCCTTTTTATAAGTGCTTTGCTCCTCTATCTCCTTTTAGGAATGACTATCCCTGAAGAAGATGCAGATGTGGGGCAAGGTAGTAAATACTGCCTTGTGGCAATAGGGCGGCTTCAGGTAAAGTCAATCTTTCAGTTATATAAATTGCTGCTGAGAACAATAGTTGTGTCTGTAGTTCAGTCACATAAACAAATCTGACAGGGTCTGGTCACTAGATTAAATGCCTGTGATATGTCCCAAAAAATAAATTTCTGTGATGCCTGTTGGTCAAGTGATTTGCTTAGAGGTTAGATGGGCTGCAGAAATGATTCTTTGTTCACAAAGTTACAGGTGTGCTCTGTAGAAGGAAGAGATTTGAGGATAGACACTGATGTGCATTTACTCCTCTAGTTCCTGGTTAATAAAGGTTAATCGAACAGGAAAAAAATTTTTTCAAAGTCCATGTGGAAAATGCTACTGTTAATGCAGTCAGGAGGCTCTCAATGCTTTGCCAGCCACAGCTTCATTTTTTCCCCCATATGTTTTATATGACCCAACCCCATGCAAAAATATATCAAAAGTTTTTGTCCAGAACATCCATATTTGATGTCTCCATTAGAACTGTGCCTTTATACAAAGCCCAAGCCAAAGATGGGGAGTCCTAGGAGGTCAGAGCACTGATTTAGAGTTAGAGTTACCTTTGTGAATCTCCTAAATCATAAAAACAAGCCATTTTTTATGTTCTTATCTGGGAATCCTTCCATTAGTAAAAACATTTGATCCTAATGCATGGTCCCTTCTTGGCCTCCACTTGTGCCCATCTGTTGGGATGGCCTAGTTCCTTCTTACAAGGTAAATGGCACTTTCATTAGAGCAGAGCTGCCAAGCTAGTATCATATGGAATGAGCAACTTGCATACTACTGGAAAATCTGTTATCGCTTCAGCAGAAAGCATCCAGTATCCAGCATGTGAGGATCCTTGTGGGCCAGAAAAATTGGCAACCAGAGTTAACCCCACCAAACTATCAGATAGCATTTTTTTGTTTTTACTTCATCACACTTGTTGGTGCACTGAGAAAATAGCCTAGTGGTAGACAGAAGGAAAGTAGGGGCTTTCCAGATGTAACTGCTGCCAAAATAGACAGTTGCCCAGAAATCACGTTAATAATATATGCAATGTCAGAGCATCTCTGACACGAGCCAGCAGCTGCTTCATGAGGGAAGGCAACTGAGGTCAGGCCCAAGGGACAAGGTCTAGCACAGAGCAGTAAAGGAGCCCCAGTTAAGACTTAGGCATTCGTGGAATTAAGTTGCAAATTGAAAGCAAATAGCCTACTTATTCTGTCCCATGGGCTGCTGCACTTTGGGGGACAGACCAAAAAAGAATCTGGTGTTTGGCTGCATGGAGTATAAGGGAATGGCGGATCAAAGACAGCTTTCGCTCACAGCCCAGCTAGGAATATATAGAAGTAGATGCATTTCATAAATCTCAAACACAGGAATGCTTAATGCATTCTGAAGAACCTTCACTCGGAAATCTGTGCTTTTCTTTAAGGATAATAATTTGCACTAACATCATGTCTTGCCTGCTGGAGAGAGCTATGTCTAGAGTTTGATGGCCGCTTAGATTAGCTGTTACAACCTTTTTTATGAGGATATCTTAAATATCGTAGTTACCTGAATTCAAGATGACTTCAAGTTTAAGATGACCCTTCAATCGTTAGATTCTATATGTGAAAAAGCACAAATTTGTTATAATTTTCCATGTATAGAATCTAATTATTGGCAGGTAGTCTTACATTTGCCCCTCCCTCCCCCACCACCACTGGTGCAGCAGGAAAGCAGCTGCAGGGAGGAAATCTGTGGGGAAATCAGGGGCAGGGGAGCGTGTGATTGCGAGACCAGCAGAATAGGGAGCAGGCAGCCTGAGCCCTGCCCCTTGCCTCCAAGTGCCTGTGTCCTATGGCGTCTCCCTGCTTCTGCTGCTGTCCTTAGCAGATCTGGATGAAGGGAAAGCCCCAGAGCTGCTCTTCACCCACCCTTCCCTGCTCTGCAGGGATCCCATCTTGGCCAGGGACAACATCAGTGATGTTCAGGTTCCTCCTTCCAGCACCTGCTCCCAGCCAGTGAGGGAGGGGCGGGGGGGGGGGAGGGAAGGGGGGGGCCAGGCAGAGAACAGACGCTGGAAGGAGAAACC